CCGCTCCCCCCATCCCCCAGCTGCACTACCTGCCGGCCGACCCCGCGCGCGCCGACGCGGCGTGCGCGGTGCCCGTGCCCAAGGACGGCCCCGTGCACGACGTCAAGTGGAGCCCCGCGGGTGACTACTTCTGCGTCGTCGCCGGCTTCATGCCCGCAAAGGTGCGGGGATCTTTTGTATCTTCTCCTTGCTTGTGCAGATGAGGTGGCAATCGAGTTTTGATTGCTACTTTTGGCGCGGCGCTGCTGCAAAATGCAGTGCCGTACAGCGGGCGGCTGGGGTCGGCTGGGCACAGACGCGCTGTCCCCAATTCAGAAGGATGGTCAGCCAGGGGTGAGGTGGGGGCCTGTCTTGGTTTTTGTCCCGGGCTAGAGTCGGCAGGGGAGGACGGGATTCGAAGGGGATGCCATGGGAACAGCGGCCGGGCCTTCGGGGGCGGCCGGCCCCGTGGCGCTGTCGCCGCGTGCCAGCGCAGGCAAGCGCAGGAGGCGGCGCACCCGTCCGGTCCCACCTGTGATGCGTGTGGTCACACTCCTCCCAAGCCCGTCTGATGCTCTTCACCCCGCTGCCAGGTCACCCTGTTTGACGACAAGTGCAAGCCTGTGTATGATCTGGGGGGTGGCCCCTACAACACCGTGATCTGGAACCCCTTCGGCCGCTTCCTGGCCATCGCCGGGTTCGGCAACCTGCCGGGTGCGTCCTGGGTTCCATGTTTTCGCGTGTCGGCGACAGACGTCGAACCTGTGTCTTGGGCCGTGGTGACGTCTGACTGGGTCGGTGCGGCTTCGCCGGCCTGGGTCAAACAAAGCTTGCGGCGAGCAAGGCGCCGCCCTCATCCTCCGGCCTCCATGCATCCCTGCACTCATCCACACCATATACCACCCCTCAGCCTGCAGCGTCTCCACAAGCACCGGCTGCAACCGCCCTCAACCGCCCTCGATTGCCCCCAACCGCCCTCATCCGCTGCCCGCCCGCGACCCCTGCTACTCCTCACCCCCAAACAGGCGACCTGGTGTTCTGGTCAAAGCTCAACAAGGGCGCCTGCAAGCAGATCGCCGCGACGCGGTCAGAGGCGGTCAACGCGTCGTGGTCGCCGTGCGGGCGCTACGTCATGACGTCGACGGTGGCGCCGCGGCTGAGGGTGGACAACAACGTCAAGGTGTTCACCTACTATGGTGGGCCGGGGTGGGGTTATGGGGTGGGGATGGGGGGTGGGGTTTGGGGGGGAGGTGGGGGGTGGATTAGGGTTGAGGGCTGGGGCTGGAAGTAGTGGTAGGGGTGCGGTCGAGGTCCCTGGGGGCATGCTCGGGTGCACAACGAGGTTGAGGCGCGCCTCACTCGCGTTTGTGATGGAATGGACGTGGGAAACAACGGCACTGCCGACTGGGAAACCATTAGGCCAAGGGAATTTCGATGGGTGCTGGGCGGTGGCGAAACCCATCCCGCTTTGTGGGGCCGTTTGTTAATCGACTCGACAGGCGGTGCAATTGTGTTCACGCGGAACTTCGCCCCCGTGCAGGCGAGAAGGTGGCCGAGAAGAAGTTTGACGTGCTGCTGGAGGCGCAGTGGCTGCCCGCCCCCAGCGGTACCTTCGAGGACCGCCCCGCGTCGCCGCGCGCGGCCGGAAGCAGCGGCGCGGCCGGCGGCGGCGGCGGCGGCGGCGCGGCGGCGGCGCCGCCGAGGGCGGCGGGATACAGGTGGGGGGTTCGCCGGACTGCCGGCTGGCGCCTCTGCCATTGCCTTGCAACCACTTGTGGGGGCACCTCTCAATCGCCCTCGGCCGGAGCCTGCTCTCTTGGTCTCTTCCGCCCCATGACCCCGCAACCTCCGTTATGGAAGCGATGTCATCCCCCAACGCCGAGTTGCCTGCACCGAGCCCACGTTCCCTGGCCCCGAACGCCCCAACTCCGTTGCGCCCCACCGCGCAGGCCACCAGCCATGCGCAACGGCATCCCCGGCGCCGGCGGCGGCGCGCCGTCCGCGACGTTCAGCCTTGCCTATGATGACACCTCAAAGCCCGGCGGACGCATAAGGACGGTCCCCGGCGCGCCGCTGGGCACGGTCGGCGCGCGGACGGTGCCGCCGGGCGCGGAGTTCATCAACACAAAGGTGGCCGGCAAGAACGCGAAGAAGCGGGCGAATAAGAAGGCAAAGGCAGGAGAGGGCGGCGGCGGCGGCGGCGGCGAGGAGGATGGGGATGGGGAGGGCGGCGGCGGCGGCAGCGGCCCGGCAGCGGCGGGGC